CGCCTCTAAAAGAAGATTGAAAGAAAAACTCACCAAAACATTAATGCCGGTTGTCTTGGGTGGCAGACTGAAAGGGAGAGAGATTATGAGTGCTTTTAAACTGTTCTAATACCGTCATGTATTTTCTGTAATGATCATAAACTACTTTCATTACTAGAGAAAGTAATACACAACTGTTTCCTTATTATCATTTGCCAGAGAGGTCTAATTCCCATCAGATCTTGTAAGAAATCATTACAGAAAGGCGTTGGGGGCATTCCTTTGGATCGCTCTGTCATGTTGATGCCATTTTTATCGTGGGTCCCATCCACTTTGACTTCCCAGAATTCCTCAGGTTGGGCCCTTCCTGCTCTGAGGCCCAGCTCACAGAGCCAGCTTCAGGTCACGGATTGTCTGCCCTGGCCAGAGCCCCCTGCTTAGCACTAGCCACCCTGCAGAGCGGGGGCAGTGGGAAACATTTATTGAGTAGCCACTAAGTGCCAGGCACTTTCACAAGGTAATCGTATTGCATTTAATATGTCCTCCCAGCTTTATCGAGATATTATTTATATATAACAGACGTAAGCTTAAGGTGTACAACGTGTTGGCGTGATACAGCTGTACGCTGAGCAGTGAGTACCACAGTAAGGTTAGTTACCACTGCCATCGCCTCTGGGTGTGTGGAGATAACACCAAGATCTGCTCTCTCAGTAACTTTCAGGTGTACAGCATAGTATTGTTAGCTTTAGTCACCACACCGTGCTGCACATTAGGTCCCCAGAACTTACTCATCTTAAAGCTGGTACAAAGTTGATACCCTCTGACCAACATCTCCCCATTTCTAAAATGAGTTTGACTTTTTTAGATTCCAAATATAAATGAGGACATATAGTATTTGTCTTTATCTAATCAATTGAATCAATTTTTCTTAGCATAATGCCCTCCAGGTTCATCCATATTGTCACAAAAGGCAGGATTTCCTTCTTTTTATGGCTAAGAATATTCCAGTGTGTATACGCATATCACATTTTCTTATTCATTCATCCATCAGTGGACACTTGAGTTGTTTCCATATCTTGGCTATTGTAAATAATGTTTCAGTGAATATTGGGTTGCAGATATCTCTTCAAGATAGTGATTTATTTCCTTTGGATAAATACCCAGAAGTGGGATTGCTGGATCATATGGTGGCTCTGTTTTTAATTTTTCAAGGAACCACCACACCGTTTTTCTTACTGGCTGCACCAATTTACATTCCCACCAAGAGTACACCTCACCAACGCTTGTTATTTTGTCTTTTTGATAATAGCCATTCTAACAGGTGTGAAGTGATGTATCTTGTGATTTCGATTTGCATTTCTCTGATGATTAGTGATATTGGACATCTTTTCATGTATCTGTTGGCCACTTAGATATCTTCTTTGGAAAAATGTCTATTCAAGTCCTTTTTGCAGTTTTTAATCAGATTGTTTGTTGTTGTTGTTGTTTTGCTGTTGAGTTGTATGAATTCCCTATATATTTTGGCTATTAACCTCTTATAAGATAGATGGTTTGCAAATATTTTCTCCCATTCCATAGGTTGCCGTTTCATTTTGCTGATTGTGCAGAAACTTTTTAGTTTGATATAGTACCACTTGTTTATTGTTGCTTCTGATGCTTGAACTTTTGGCATCATATCCAAAAAATCATTGCCAGACCAATGCCAAGGAGCTTTTTCCCTATGCTTTCTTCCAGTAGTTTTATAGCTTCTGATCTTACATTTACATTTTTATCTATTTCAAGTTAATTTATGTGAGTGGTGTACGATAGGGATCCAATTTCATTCCTTTACATGTGAATACCCAGTTTTCCCAAGACCATTTGTTAAAAAGATCATGCTTTCCCAATGGAGGATTCTTGTCTCCCTTGTTGTAAACTGTTAGTTGACTGTATATGTGTGGATTTATTTCTGGACTGTTAATTCTGTTTCATTGGTTTGTGTGTCTGTTTTTATGCCAATACCATACTGTTGTTTTTTTGTTTGTTTTTTTGTTTTTTTGTTTTTAGGCGAGGCAATTCTTGGTTGACCTCACAGATTGCAAGGACCTGGTCAGCTTACGATCCCTTACTTTTTTTATTTTTTATGCCTACAGAACCCAGTCTTCCTAGGTGGTCTCCCATCCAAGTACTAACCAGGGCCAACCCTGCTTAGCTTCTGAGATCAGATAGGATCGGGCTCGTTCAGGGTGGCATGGCCGTAGACAGTACCATATTGTTTTGACAACAATAGTTTTATAATTAAGTTTGAAATCAGGAATTGTGATGCTTCCAACTTTGTTCTTCTTTCTCAAGATTGCTTTGGCTATTTGGGGTCTTTCATAGTTCTGTATGAATTTCAGGATTATTTTCTTTATTTCTGTGAAAGATGCCGTTGGAATTTTGATAAGGATTTCCTTGAATCTGTAGCTCTCTTTGGGTAGTGTGGACATTTTAACGATAATAATTCTTCCAATCAATGAACACAGAACATCTTCAAAGTTATTTGTGTCTTCAATTTCTTTCATCAGTTATTTATATATATATCTTTTATATTGCATTTAATCATCATAATGAGGTATAGATCTTGATTAGTAGCGCATTTTACAAACGGGGAGGCTGAGGCTCACACACCTTATAAAAAGTGGAATCAAGATTGAAACCTCGGACCTCTGACTCTAAGTCGTGTCTCTTCCACTAAACTGAGGACCGCAGCAGGCCCTCCCCGCGATGCGGTGCGTGCTCCCGGCCGGAAGCCCGAGGGCAGCTGCCCGCCTGTTTTTGCTGCTTTACAGATGGACGACGAGGACTCCATTCTGCCCCGGAAGCTTCAGGTGGCCCTGGAACACATTCTGGAACACAGGAATGACCTGGCCGGTGACCAGGATGAAGGGCCCCCGGACTGCAAGCACGGTAATGCTCGGCCACCTCCCAGACTGCATCTCCCTTTTCTGTTATAAGAGTCAGGGACAAGCGGACAGTGGCCGGCCACTCTCCTTGGCTTTGGGTTAAGCAGGAAAATGGGCAAGACAGGTGTGCTGTGCAAGGAGAGAAACCAGGTGCTCAGCCCGTTTACCTGGCTCCCATTCTGACAGTGAACTGTGGGAAAAGTGTCTCCCAACCCCATTTTGGCCCTAAAATATCTGGAGGGAAAGAAATGGTTTAATAACTTTGGGTAACCTTTTGATGGGTCGTTTCAGTTTGCCGTGGAGCGAGCTAGCAGTCACTTGGGTTGCTGATTGGCTGGCCTCGGGCGCTGCCCTCACCCGCTGGCCCTCCCTCCCCCACTTTGCTCAGGCCCTGAGTCCAGCCCCCTGAACGAGGTGGTGTCTGAGGCCTTTGTCCGCTTCTTCGTGGAGACCGTGGGCCACTACTCCCTGTTCCTGGCGGGCGAGCGCGAGGAGAGGACCCTGCAGCGGGAGGCCTTCCGCAAAGCCGTCTCCTCCAAGAGCCTCCGCCGCTTCCTGGAGGTCTTCATGGAGACTCAGATGTTCCGGGGCTTCGCCCAGGAGCGGGAGCTGCGCCGGCAGGACGCCAGAGGTGGGGGCCCCTCCACGGGTGCGGGGACAGCTGGACAGGCCCAGCCCGCAGCGGCTGCTGAGCCGGAGGACGGTGCCGGGGTCCAGGCGCGGACGGGAGCGGCTCTGCGGCCTCCTGTGAAAATGTTTGTTCTTGTCCCTCTGAGCTGCTGAAAACTGCCCCACGCCTGTCCCCTCAGGCTGTCTCTGTCCCCTCCACTAGCCCGGTTCCATGGCACGGTCTCCTTCTGTGCCATTCTTTCTAACTTGATGACACTTTCATGGACACCTTGTCCTCCCTCTCTCTCGGCCTCCCTTGTCTTTACCTCAGGCCTCCTCTCATCCCTCTGCCCTCCTTTCCTGCCTCTCTCTGCCACGGGTGGCCAGACAGGCAGGAGCTGGCTGGGACAGGGTGGTGGAGGACAGGGTGGCCCCGTGTCACTCCACCCCCCGTGCCTGCTGCCGCCCAGCGGGGCTGCACAGGGGAGGTGGGACAGCAGTGGCTCTCCCGCACCTGGGAGATTGCCGGCCATCCCCGGTCATCGTCGCCCTCCCTCACTCTCCTCTCAGAGTTCCTTTCCCTCCTGCCTTCTCCGTCCCTGTCCCTGTCTGCTGGGTTCCATCACACTGCTAGGGATGGAAGATGGGGAGGTGCGAGAAAAGAGGGTGACGTCTTCCTGTCTCTTTCTTACATCATCTTAAGCCCCTTGGGAATCTAAAACCTGGAAATGTCTGTAGAGGCTGTCACAGACGGGTTAGACCTGAGCAGGGGAGAGATGTTGACTCCAGGGAGTGGCCCCAGGGAACAGCTGTCCTCTGGTGCTGTGATTCCAGAGACTAAGTTAAGGCACCAAACCATCCCCAGAGCTCCTCGCAAAGTAAAGGCAGAGGCTGTCCATGCGTCAGGCACTTCTGATGAGTGGAAGACTTCTGGAGACACGAGAGGAAAATTGATCAGAGGGTGTGAGTCACTCACGCCTGATGAAAGGATCCTTTTAAATAAAAGACCTGCCGAGTACACATAAATATCCGTCTACAGATCACAGTTTCATAGAGAGGTCGAGACATAAAAGCTTAAAAGCAGCATGGAAGGAGCCCTCTGTCCACTTTCAGATCAGTGAGAAATGAAAACAGAGTGCCCGAGGCTCAGCCCCCAGGGCCGAGAGCTGAGGGCACCTCAGAGGCCCAGCCTTCCTGAGCTCACAGGTGGCAGATTCCCAGGGAGCTACACCCCATGACCAGGGACCCTCTCGCAGCAGAACCCGAGGAAAAGGCCAACTCCGGGAGCTCCTGAGAGCGAGACTCTCTGCTCTGCTTCATCCTTGAAACCGCACGCCTGGCACCATGTAGACACTTGGAAGATGTTTGCTAAATAGAAACAGGATTTCACGGAGGAGCTGGCTCTACAGCTTTCCAAAGACAGTTATTACACAAGGTTGGGCAATTATAAGAGTAATGAAAACTCTTATAAACCTCATGATTTAGAACATGTTTATAGGAGCAGCTGGTCTCAGCAGTAAGATTTCTCTTTCTGTGCGGTAAGGAAATGGTTATATTTAGAAGTGCCTCGAGGAAGGACTAAAATGGCTGGGACTTCTCTTGTCAACAGGTCTGTTTGAGGTCCGAGCCCAAGAGTACCTGGAAACCCTCCCCAGCGGAGAGCACAGCGGTGTCAACAGGTTCCTGAAGGGACTAGGTAAGGCTTAGGGGCTTCAGCCCTCATCCCCATCGGTAAAGAGGCTCCTTCCGCTGGAGCCTGGGCCTCCGTACAATGCAGAGCTCTCCAGCCTCGGCCTAACTCGGCATTTTGATCTTCTGTTCTAATCTGACCCCAAAGTATGAACAAAGGACACGAATGGCCCCCTCCCAGCTTTCCTGGGCCGCTGGGCCGTCTTTCCACCTCCTTCACGGCCATGCCCCACACTCCTAAGTCTTCTGGGGAATCGAGCTTAGGAAGCGTGGTGAAGGCTGTCTGGCAGTGGAGACCGGGCCCAGCCTCTGAATGCCCCCCGAACAGTGGGAACGTAAGAATGAGAAGGACCACGGTTTAATCAGTAAAGAAGGAAAAGGGAGGATGAAGAAGAAGAAGTCTGAAAAGAGGAAGGAGGGCGAGGCCCCGCCGGGGAGGACCGCACAGGGCCTGTGGGGGCCTGCCTGTCCCTCACGCAGGACGGACAGGTGGCCACTTGGGACGGGGCCGCCTACCCACCTGCTGGGAGTTTTCTCCTCATGTGGCTTCTCAAGGACACATAACATGCAGCCCTTCCTGTGTCACCTTTTCAGAAGCAGTGTCTACAGCGCTGACATTGCTCTGTTTAAAACTCCCCAAGTCTGAGGAGGTCCCTTTCCATTGGGGCGGCGTGGGAGGCCACAGCTGCCCTCACTGCAGGCGGGGTGAGAAGGGCAGGATTTAACTCAGCCCCCTTTGTCTGCCTGCCGAAATGGTCTCACTTTCTTTTTCCAGGCAATAAAATGAAGTTTCTCCACAAGAAATAACCCTCAGCCCAGCCCCAAAGGCAAACTTCCTCCTGCAGCAACCGCCATGTTTTGAAAACAGGCCTGGTGATGTTTCGGAAACGTTGGGTCCTCAGGTGTTGCAGGTGCTGGGGAGAGGCCGGGATGGTTTCCGGCTGCCACTGGGTTGTCCCCGTCCCCAGATTGCCAGAACCGTGCCACTGCTTCAGGACAGCACTGGACAGGGGGCCTGAGACCAGCGTGTCGCCAACATTCAGATGGATGGTTTTGGTTGTTTTTGGACTTTTTGGTTTTTTTTTTAATCTTAGATATTAAAAAAAAAAGAAAGGTGTTTGGGTTTTCCTCTTATTATGCTAGGGCTAAGAAAACTCTGTCCTGCCCTACGTCATCTCCCTGGCCCATCCTGCCTTGCCGCTCGGGAAGAGAGGACGAGACGGAGCAGCGACCAGGGACAAATGCCTGCGTTGGGGAGGAGGGCTGTGGTGACACCTACAGACACTCAGATCCCAAGTCCTCTGGGGAGAGACGGGCCTTCTGAATTGCTGAGGAGTCGGAGCTGGGCTCCAGGGATTTGGCTTCCGGCATGAGTGGTGCTTCCAGAGTGGCCAGTGATGCCACCTGGTGGCCGAGGCCGCTGCTGTGGCACCGCTGAGTCTTCTCTCAAACGGACCTGACTTCTCGATGGCCTCTTTTCCCTTAGAAGCCATCGGAACGTCCACGGCAAGCCGTCCATGACTTTTGAGGTACACACACGAAGAGGAAAGCGTAAGATCTGTTAGCGGAATATTCTTAGGGTCCTGAAGTGTAGATCACAACGTGTCACCTTAAAACACATGAGCCGTGGCTTTGACCCTGTTCCCATTCATACCTAGGAAATCTTCCCTTCTCATTGTCAGGGCCCAGATCAGCATAAATGAAATGGCACATGGAAAATCGGAAGGACTTTTGTTATTGGCGTTAACGAAAGGGAGCATCGAAACGCGGGGGCAGCTTCGCCAGACTCTGCAGCTGGCCACCCTGGACCCGAAGCAGGGAGGCGAAGCAGGAAGGTGCGGGGGAAGGCTGCGTTCTGAGCGCTCCCCTGCGAGGGACCCAGCAGGGAGGCAGGAGAGCTGTGGGCAGCACAGGCCGGTCCCTAGAACAGCACCCAGGGCCACTGCACATCCACCGGTGCGTCCCCTCTGGATGGCGCCAGCCACCATGATACAGACACATGACAGGGATGTGCTCTGGCCACGGCAAAGGCCCAGGGGCCCATGCTGCCCAGCAGAGGTTCTTAGCCGTGGGGAGTTGGGAGCCAGGGGTCTTCTGAGGAAGAGAAAAATGAGGAGGTCGACCTGTCATTCCGCATTAAGAGTTCTTACCTGGAGTCATGGGCCACCTCTCCCCGGATTGTATCCAAGATTTGGCGTGTCCATCCATCTTTCAGGGAAGAGAATCCACAGTTTACATCAGGTTCTCAGTTCCAAGGTCCCCATAACTGGTAGGAACCAGGCTATGCATAACAATCAGCCTGGGTTAGTGTGGATGGGGATTGAGGGGCAGATGGAATGAGAATCTCCACATGCAGGGGCTCAGGGATTTTTACCCAACGAGCTCCTCAGATTAGTTAAGTTTATTAATACCAATATTCTGTCCAGAGATACTCACTTTTAATATTTTGGAATATACGTTCTTTTCTAACTTATTTCATATTATATTGTTTACTCAACATCTCCAAGTGAATAAATATGTCTTTATCAATATGTCTAATACTTGTCTAATATTCTATTTTATAGATATACTAAAAGCTATTTTACCAATCCTCTACTCTTCGAGCAGGATATTTTGAGTTTTTAATATAAAGAGCATTGAGAAAAACATCTTTGTACGAGTATCTTAGCACATTTGCCCTATTTTCATTTCATTTTTGCTTGGAGTAACACATACATACAGAAAAGTGCCCGGATCGTGCGTATACAGGCTGACAAACCACAGATGACCACGTCCGCATCACCAGCACCCGGGTTGAGAAGCCGATCGTCATGGGACCCCGGACGCCAGCCCCTGCTGCCACCTTCCCAGCATTCATCCCTCCCATCTACATGGGCGGATGTTTAATTCACCTACCAAGTTGTCTACAACTTGCCAAGTGGTAAACAGGCTGGGGAGGGTCAGAGGCAAGAGAAAAAAGTAGAGTCGTGATCCCTGCTGACAGCCTAGGGCGGATTCTGGGTGGACAGTGCTGTTTGGCTTGGGAGAGCATGGCCGTTAAGCATGGGTGTGCTCGACCCGGTCACCGCAGCTCGGCCTTTCTGTCTTAGCTCACAGCAACTGTCTGTCCAAGGACCAAGTCCTCTCATTCCAATCAAAGCACACATTTTCCATGAAGAATGTGTACGTGTTTAGAAGCATTCCTTACTGTGTTTCACGGCGAAGCACGTGGTCATGAAAAATAGTTGGAGAGGGATTGTCGGGTGGACTTCAGCGCTGTGGACAATTGGGACGCCGGCGGGCGAGGGAAGGGGAAATGTGAGTGGGTGCATCTGAGGGAGGAGGCAGCCTTCACCCCTGCTGGGAAGAGGAAAATGAATTCTTAGAAATTATCACGAAGACCTCGTACCACTCAGACTAAGAATAACGATATCAGCCGCCACTTCCTGGCCGTTGCTTTTTGCCCATCACTATGTTGAGTTCGTCACGTGCGTTATCTGATCGCCAGAATGTAAGCCTCACAAGGGATGGTGTCCCTCACGTCCACTGCTGAATTCCCAGAGCCTAAAGCCAGCGCCTGGCACAGAGCAGGCTCTTCCTGAAACGTTGGCCGAGCGAAGCAACAATTCCCACAAGAGGGCTACTATCTCTGTCGCAGGCAGCAGGCTCATTAGAGATGGACGCAGGCCCCACTAAGCCAAAGGAATGCTTTGTCGAGGGGAGTCGACCTGTCTACTGACGGTGACAGCCATGCCCAGCATCTCAGACACTTTGAGTCAGCACCAGGCACCTACCTAGGAGACCACACTAATCATCAGAAGGTTGCTTGGTGAGTATGAAGTCGGAGTAAAGGGCACCAGAGAGTCTGGAGCCACCGGGAGGGGTGGGCAGCTGGACAGACTTCCCTGTCTCATGAAGACCCTGCTGACCCCTTGATCCCTGGCACCCCGCACCCCGCACTGCTGCTCCACTTATTTTTTTTTTTCCTTTTTATTTTATTGGGTTGAAATTCACATAACATAAAAGTCACGTAGTGCATTCGCTATGGTGTGCAAGCTCCAGAAATATTTCCATCGCCCACAGGAAATCCGCTACCCATCCAGCAGTGACGCCCACCCCTCCCCCCTCCCCTGGCCACCACCAGTCTGTCCGCTCTGCCTGTGAATATCTCTGTTTTAGGTGCTTCGTGTAAATGGAGCCACAATATGTTTTCTGCCTGGTTTCTTTCACTTAGCATGGTGTTTTCAAGGTTCATCCACTTTGTAGCATGTATATGCTACAATACTTCCTTCTTATGGCTGATATTCTATTGCATGGATATGTCATATTTTGCATATCCATTCATCCAGCAGGCGACATTCAGTTTGTGCATATTTATTTGAATACCTGTTTTCAATTTCTTTGAAAAAAAAATATATATATATATACACACACACCTAGGAGTGGAATTATGGATCATGTGGTAATTTCTACATTTAAAATTTTGAGGAACCAGTAAACTTTTCCACAGTGGCTGTCCCATTTTCCATCCCACCCACGATATATGAGGGGCACTTCCCTTTCTTAGCTATATCCATCACCTCCCCGCCATACCTCTCAGAAGAGGACCCCATATCTCTCGAGTGATTGGGACCACGTACATCAGATTCGCCTGGGACACTAGTTTGAAAAGCAGTTTCCTGGGATCTACCTTGACCTCTCAGGGGCTAAGGCTCTAGAGCCTTCATTGGCTGGAAGGGCCCCAAATGTCTCCAAACATTTTTAGGACTCTGTCTCAGGTGACTCACTTCTTCAGGTGACTGATCTCCTTCCTCCCTTAGATGCAAATTCTCCCCTCAGTTTCATTGATGGATTAATATTAGGGCCAATTTCCAAAGTCTTGGAAATAAGACTTTTGCACATATGTCTCGAGTTTACTTAAGAGCTTCTAAAATGCCTTGAAGAATGAAAACATCAATGAATCAATGAAATGGGTGTAAGCTTGCAAGGGGCCACAGACGGGCCACACTCGTTTGAGCAGATCAAATATGGCGATTCAGATTGTCGGTTTTAAAAGTTTCCGTTACTCTCGTTGGGACCTTGTATAGACTGGCAAGCAAACCCAGGGCAGTACAGGTTAGGCCCCCAAAATTCTGAGGGGAGATTGCTGTGGAGGGGAGCTCAAGAGAGAAAGGCTGGCGGGCTCAGCTCACTTTCAGGGGAGGTGGTGGGAGCTGAGTTCAGAGCCTGGTTTGGGTGGGTGGAAGGGGTTAAAACAGGCAGAGGAGGAAGGAGAGATTCTGGCCTGAGCAAAGGTTAATAAGAAAAGCAAAAGGCAGATGAGACGGGCCACTTAACTGCTGGCACCTGTCAAGGCCAATTAACTTCACTCTGTGGCTTGTCCAGTGACCACACCTCACCCTCACCCAACTCTTGGGTGGGGTTCGGCTGCCAACCTCTAACTTCTTTTAGGCTACAATCACGGAAGCCTGCCACCAGCTTTCCCCGCACCAGGCCAGAGAGCAAACAGTCTCACCTTTGATCAGCCTTGGGCTTCTTACCTGCCCCTCTTACTTTCTCCTCTGCCTACAGCCATCACCCCTCCCCACCTCAACCGTAATCCTAAGAACGCACAGTTAAATCCTGCAACCAAACCTCGCAACAGTCTTCCTTCCTACAATGGCGCTAATTGCCTTACCTACTCGGTGGAATGTGGACCGAGTTGTTTTTCTGGCAGAGAACTCCAGATTCATGGGGACCCACCCTTCACTCTCTCACCAGGTCCCTGGACAGGTGTGAAAGGGCTTATCCAGTGGGGCTCTGGGTGGCAGCAGGACCTGACAAGCCAGCAGGCAGGAGACCAGCTGGCAGGGCCTGGCCAGCAGACAACTCCCCAAGCTGCAGACCAAGCCCGGAGCCCCAGTGCCTGGAGTCTAGCTTGGTTGTCTGGCAGAAGCTGCTTTTCTTCCCTCCCTGCCTTGGTTTATCTGGCCTGGGAGAAGTTCTGGGCAGGAACTAAGGTGGCACAGCAGCCCTATGCCCAAGCCACGGTCAGCCACTAGGATGACTCACAGAGTGAGGCAGGTCAGTGTCCTTCCCATCGCGTGGGGTCCATCAACCCTGTGTCCTGGGTTCTGGCAGTCCAGATGGCCCCTTGAGGCCAGTCAAGCCCCTGCTCTGTGAGGAGATGGGGCTGTGGACGCAGTGGAAAGCTAAAAGCTGCCTCGTATCTCAAGATGGGGACATTCAGCCTCTCGGGGAGCAAGTGGGGTGAGGGCCGTGCGACAGTAAGCAGGACCATCACCATCCTGCGCTTCGTAGCCATGTCAAAGTATTGCTCTTTGAAAACAAAAAAACGATGGTTGCACAACAGTCTGAATGTACTTATCCCACTGAACTGTATACTTGAAAATCGTTTAAATGATACTTTGTTATGTACCTGTTACCACACACACTCACACACTCACACACACACACAGCAGTAATGTTACAATGCATTTATATTCTAGTGTGATGATTTTAACCTTGAGCGTGTATCATTCACACATGCATTTCTATAGGATAAATGCCAGCTTCTTTCTTTGTGCAAGTGTTTCTTTCCACTCCAGGGATATCAACCCTAAAAGTACCTCCTACTAAGTCTGCATCTAAATTCCATATATTCTCCTTAAACTTTATTTTCCTAATATTCCAGGACTGGTCCAGAAAATTATGAAGGAATTCTTTAATGCCCTTCCTTCCAGGTTTAGGAATGACAAATGGAACCTTTAGACAATGCAGCATGCTAAACGCTGGTCCAGCCTCTCTCCTCTCTCTAACCAGCTCCAGGCAGGCCAGCTCCTCCCCCACCACCCCCAGAACTCAGTCTTCCCTGCCCTCAGAGCTTCTGAGATAAGCTTCCTGTGCTGATAAGTTTGCACCACCTCCTACGAGGCATTTCTCTTTCGACTGCTGACTCTTGAGCTGTATAACCCCCAAAGCATGACTTTGTCAATGTAAGAAACATCCAAACCTGTAGAGAATTTTTTATAAGAGTTTATCTGAGCCAAACTGATGATATATGCTGGGGAGCAAGGTCCCAAATGCTCAGAGAATAACAGTTTTGTGGCTTCTTTTATGCATTTGAAATTAAGGAGCGACCATAAAAAGATTACACGACTTCCTTCGGGCACCCCCCCACACACGAGTGCACACACACACACACACACACACGTACACACACTGGTGATCTCCAGGGGGACGCTGGAGCCTCTTCATTTTAAACTGTGTGTGGAAAGGGCACCGAGTATCCCAAACCTGTTCCTCCGCCCCGGGCATCGGCTAAGCTGCAGCCCGCAGCAGTTGAAAAGGTGAGACCTTTTTGAAGCAATGAGAATGTTCTGGAATGACATACTGGTGATGGTTGCACAACTTCGTGACCACGCTGAAAACTAATTGTACACATTAAGAGGGTGAACTTTATAGTACGTGAACTATATTTCAATTCAAAATGAAAGATGAAACCAGCCATTGGAGAACGAGGAGATGTAAAGCTTGGTGCGTGGGATAAGCTGATCCTGCAGCTGCCCAGGTTTGTGGGA